TCGTCCTGAGCCAGGGGCGGGACAAGGGGGGGGGGGGTCAAGGAGTGCCTGCAGCAGAGAGGGGAGGAGGGGGGCTCACGACCTAGGCCCGGCCAAAATAAATCACCGCGGACGATCTACGGGGCACTTTTTGGCCGGGATAACTATCGAAATAGTAGGAAAAAGAAAAGGAGTAGTAGGGGGAAAAAAGTCGAGTCCGAACGCGGAGAGTTGCAAAGACGATACAAAAAAGAGGGATGCGGATGATAAGGAGAAAGAGAGTGCGGCAAAAAGGCGGATAGGCACCATTCGCGTCCGTCCGCCCCGCCCGCCACGCGAGGGAAGAGAGAGAGAGATGTCGCCGACTTTCCCCGCAGCAAGCAGAAGAAAAAAGGAGAAAGAAGATAGGGACCGCCACGCGCCCACCGCCCTCTATCCACCTTCACTCTCGGACGCGAAACGCGACGAAAACCGCGAACAGCACTTACAGTGCCCGTCACTCACCCCCCCCCCCCCCCCCACACACACACACACACAGAGCATACACTCGGCGCGTGCCGTCGTGGCGCACGCACCGAGTCACCAAACCCACTTGTCGAGTTTATTTTTGCCGCAGACCGTCCGTCCGAACCACTTGAGCCTCTCTCTCTCTCTCTGCGCTGCGCAGGTGACGCGATGCCCGTGTGCATGAGTCCGTCTCCGTGTGTGTGTGTGCGCCAGGTGCTGCCCTTGTTGCTCCGAAGAAGCCCTATCCCTGATCCTCGTCGCTGGGCTGGGCTGGCCTGGCCGGGCAGAGCGCCCTCCGCTTAGCGAGGGCGCCATATGGTGCTCTGCGGGCCGAAGACAAAAAGCCAAAAGCCGCAAGGGCTGGCAAGGGCCCCGCAGAGAGAAGGGCACCCAAGGGCCGCACCGGGGAGGAAGGTGCACTGGGTGAGCGGACAGCGGTCCATCCGAGTCGATCCGCCACGCCGCCAGGTGCGAACAAAGTGCGCGACTCATTACTGCAGACTGATCCGAGTGGAAAGTTCTCTCTCCCTCGCACTCGCAAGGCGCGCCGTACCGGTGCGAGAGGGACACACCGACGGCCGCACTGTAGGGACCGAGTGCGGACTCGAGGGTCTTGTAGGGCCTCGCCGTGACGGCCTCGACGGCCTCCTCCTGTCCGTCAGGCGCGTCATCCTGGCGCCGCGTGCCACCTGGGGGACAACGGCGTCGTCGTCGTCCTCGCCGACAATCTGGAAATGCCTCTCCCCCCTCTCTCTTACGCACACACTGCATAGTTGACCGAGATTAACGAGATTAAGTCATTGATTTGCAAAACACGACCGAAATTCCATCCAGAGCGTTATTGAATGAGCGCTGGCCGCGCAGCCAATCAGGGCGCCGCCGCGCCGCTCGTCTGATGGACGGCAGAGAACCAGTAAGCCTTGGCGCACGCTTCCAGCCTCGCAGTGCCTTGCAGTGTGGCGGCAGCGGTCGCTCTGTCTCTCTCGCACTCCCGCAGCGCATGCGGCGCCCCGTGCAGGTGCGAGAGAGACAGAGCGACGACTCGCGGTGTGGTGGCGCAACAAGGCGTCGCGGGGCATCGCGGCGCAGAGTGGCGGGACTGCGTTTGTAGGCAGGGCCAGGCAGGGCCAGGCAGGGCGTGTTGGCCGATAGCGATCGGCGGCACTGAGTTATGAGTCGAAGCCCGAAGTGCTCTGTCCCTCTCCGCACCCACACCCACGAGTGCGAGGGGGACCGCGCGCTCGGCGTCAGAGGCCCGCCGAAACGTCTGGGTGGCCGCCGCCACGCCGCCGCGCCACTGCGCGGTAAGGCACTGTGGGGCCCCACGGGGAAGGCCAGGCCGGGCTAGGCCCCTACGGGGACACCTAGGCCAGCCCGGGCCGGGCTAGGGCGGCACCGCCACCATTTTTCACTGCCCGTCGCCCTATCTCCGCAGGCCGTCTCGCTTTAGAGGTCCGCGCTAGAGACCGCCACTCGTTTTCGACAGTGCACTGCACGTCGTATCCGCGCAGGGTGCGTATAGTAACTTACACTAATACGAAAACGCTGTAGCCACACGGAGCCGTGACAGTGCCGTGACACGGCAGCCCGTCATCACCGCCTCAAGAGCCACACACTGGCTGGAGAGGAGGAGAAAGTCAGGAAGGGGGCGGAGAAGGCGGAGAAGAAGAAGAAGAAGGAGGCGCGGTGACGCTGTGGTGGCGTTTTGAATTCCGCGTCGTCGTCGCCGAGACGCTCTCCGACGGCAGTGCCCTGCCCTGCCCTCCAGCAGACTGACTCCGAGAGTCGTCTTCATCGCTCTGTCTCCCTCGCACCCACACGGGACGCCCCGTGAGTGCGAGAGAGACGGAGCGACGACTCTCGGAATGAGTCTGCAGGAAAAAGGCGGGAATCGCCGCGGCGCCGCGCTGTGCAATTTGGGAGGGGCTGCTCTCGGGGATCGCTCTGGAAAACAATAACCGCGCGGTCCACTCATCGATGCTCTCTCTCTCTCTCTCTCTCTCTCTCGCACCGTGAGACACATGCCTTTTTATTCCGGAAAAATAAATAATAATCGTAATAAAATGGGTCGTTTGTCATTCCCACGCATACATTAAGCCCCGTTCCAAATCCAATCCCTTTCCAGGGGGCAGCAGCAGCAGCCTGACAGCGTCGTCGATTTCAAAGTCTCTTTCCAGGAACCGGCCTGGCGGCCAATCCGCGAGCGGGGCAGTGGAGGAGAGCCCTTGGCGTCGTCTCTCTCTCGCTCCCTGCCGGGGCGCCCCGTGAGTGCGAGAGAGACGGCGACCTCGGCCAATGGCGACGCTTCCCGCGCCGCGAGGAGGATCATGTAGGCACGCGGGTGTTGCTGACGCCGCTGCCCGTCGCTCTGTCTCTCTCGCACTCTCGCGGCGCCCCGTGAGGGCGCGACAGAGACGCGGCGACTTTCGCGCGGCGGACGATCGTATTCCGCGAGGAAGGGAAACGGCGCGAAGGAAACCTGCAGACGCACGCACGGGCACGCCGCCGTCGTCCTGCGGGCCGAACCTCGCTTGGCGCGCTGTCTCTCTCGCACCCCTACGGCCCTACGGGACGCCCCGTGAGTGCGAGAGAGACAGCGCAGGCTGCGGCCCTGCGGCGTGCCACCACAGTGCCACCACAGTGCCACCACAGTGCCACCCGTGTCGCTATGCATCCAGGCGACAACCCATCGCGCAGACAGAGAGACAGATGAAGAGGCGACGAGGCGACCGGGATGACGAATGACGACGGCCACGGCATGGACGGGGGACGGACGGAAGAGGCCGAGGAGGGTGATTTCCTGGACAGCGCCAGCCAGGCCGAGGGCTTAGGGGAGCTAGGCCTACCCTCCGGAAAAAGAGTGGGGAAACCTCGCCGCGGCCCTGCTGCAACCAGAGTCCCGCAGACTGGTTCCCAAAGGGCCGCGTCGGCGTCCCGTCTCTCTCGCACTCACGGGGCGTTCCGTGCGGGTGCGAGAGGGACAGAGCGACGGACGAACACGGCCCTTTCGGAACCGCCCGGCTGGAGTAGGCTGGAGTTCTGGGGTCGCGGCGAGTAATGGATGGGGACAGCGTCGTGACGGACTGCAGGGAGTGGGGCGGGGCCAGGCGGCGTTGCGACACCACGGCGCCGGGTCCACGTCTAGGTGGACTACGGCCGCGGCGCGCTGACCCCGGGCGGGTTTACGCGCGAACTTGGCAGCGGTAGTATCGCCACTCCACTGTGGTACACTCTCTCGGCCCACTTGGCCATGCGCGGCACGCACTACGGACCTTGGCGAACTCCGCCACTGGTCCTATAAAGGCAGGCCGGGCAGGCCGATCTCCGCGACCGCAGAGACCGGCCCAGGCCCATCCCAACAGCGGCGCCCCGTCTCTCTCGCACCGTGGGCCGTCCCGCAGGGGTGCGAGAGAGAAAGACTGCGCGACCGGACCGGCCGGCCCGCATCGCGCAGTGGAGGCACTCTGCGCGCCAAACCGGGGTCGCCAATAAAATGTAAAACCCCACGCGGGCCGCGGAGCCGCGACGCCAAGCAGCGACGCGGGGCCCAAAGTAGCCATCCGGCCGGCCAGCCAGCCAGCCAGCCAGCCAGCCGAACGAGACGCAGGGAAGTATAATCTGAGGAGACGGCGGGCCGCCCGTTTTGGCGCGCGGTGAGTTACGCCCTTGCGTTGCGGCAGAGAGAGAGAGAGGGGGGGGGGCAGGGCACGACGCACTGACGGGCCCGTCACGGCGCGCACGTCAAGGAGCCCAGGTCGAAGGACGCCCGGCAGGGCAGGGCAGGACGGCGTCCGAGCCTCACTCCAGCAGTGCCGCAGTCACTCCAGGAGGCGCTTTGTCTGCCTGGAAGGAGTCTGGAAGGAGAGCCAACCACGCTTGAAAGCCGCGGCTGCTGTTAAAAGGGGGCGTTTGTCGCGCTAAACGGCCAGCATCTAGAGCATCTAGAGCAGCACGGCGCCGACGGAGCCCGTCCCGCACGACCGGCGGGTAGGCAACCCACCTCTCTCTCTCTCTCTCTCTCTCTCTCTCTGGGCGCGGACGCCATACGCACCGCCACTTTATGGTGCACGCCCCCACCCTTGGCGCCTTGGCCACGTTCGCCACGGCACGCTGCGCAAAAAGGTCGCCGGGGGAGGGGGTTCGAACCCGCGACCCGGGACGCGAACGCGAACGCGGGTCACGATTCCGGCCAATCGGAGCAGCGGCGCGGTCGCCGTCGTGCGTCCGACGGACCGCCGCCGTGGCGCGCCCGTCCGACCCCTGGACCTGGACCACACATTACGGTTTTACAAAATGGCTCCCCTCCCCGCGCTGCGGTGGTCGTGGGACCTCTCCGGCCGGACGGTCCAAGGGCTCCGGGTTCCAGGCAGTTCGGAATCAGTCTGCAGTGCCAGGCAGACTCCGGCCCGGGTTCCGGAAATGCCTGGACCAGATAGCCCCGCCGGCCCCGGGGCCATATCCACCAGGCTCTGCCCACTCGCCCTTCAAACTTCAAACACCCAGGCTGCTCTTACCTTGAGCGCGCAGAAGATACACGATTCTTGCATACAGGCATGGCCGCTGAGTTCTCGGAAGCTTCGTCGGAAAATGTCCAAGTGCCAAAGGACCTGCAAAAAAGGGGGCAAAAATATGCGTTAATTGGAGCGGGTGGATTTCATTTCATTATGTCCGCTGTCCCCCCCCAGCCGGCGTCCGGAATGGCTTCGTCCGGGCAAACCATTCATCACAACCCTGTCATCGGTCTGTCCGTCTGCTGTCTGTCTGTCTGTCACACGCAACCACACACAAATTATAACTCCTTACGCAACCGGCCAAAACAAACGACGTTTTGATAAATGGAGCCTTTTAGCCGCAATTAGAGCAGCGCGAGGTTGCTGACTGCGCAGGTGCGTCCCTCGCACGTGTGTGTGCGCCTTGTGCGCATTTACTTTACATTCTTCACTTTTTTTCCAGTGTGCGTTCATTACTCTCGTTGTTATCGACGCGGCGGGGCGGAGCAGGGCGGAGGCGCCGCGACGCCCGTCGCCATGGCGACCCAGACGTTTACGGTGCACCTTCCCCGATTGCACCGAGGCGAAGGGGTTGGGCGGCGTGGGTGGCGGTGGCGCCCATGTGGCAACGGCGCGGATTTCAAAACGCATCGCGGCCCGATATAAATGCGGCGTGTCGTGGAAGCGTGTCCCTGTTGAATCTTTCCCGGGTCGTCGCTCCCACGCATGCGGCGTGGCTGCCAGCCCTGCCAGCCCCGGCTGCCCCGCCGTTCCCACAGCTCCCATCTGAGCGTGTCCGAACCGCCCGGCCGGGCTGGCGGCCAGCCTGGAGCAGCCTGGCGCCCCACGCCGCAGCGCGCTGGCCGCGGCCAAGCCGGCCGTGCTCCTGCCGGCCAGTGGCGGCCAGTGGGCACCGCGACGGACGCAACGGGCTGCGGCTTCATTCGTTTTCGTCGCTGTCTCTCTCGCACTCAAGGAGCGCCCCGTACAGGTGCGAGAGAGACAGAGCGACGAGGAGGAAAAAGCCCCGCCTTGCCCATCGATCCGGCTCCAGTCGAACCGAACGAAACGAACCCGCGAACAATGGCGGCAACATTCAAATCCATTTCCGCGTGTGAAAAAGAGCCGAATTTAGTGGCGGCCGCGCTGCCGCGCTCGCGTTGGGGTCGTTCGTCGTCGGCGTCCCCGACGTAAGCCGCTGGCCGACAGTCCGGGCAGCGCAGCGCCCTGCCACGCCGCCCACGCGACGGGCAGCCGACACCGCGGCGATCGGACGCAGCGACAAAACCCCTGACGCCGGCCGCTGTCTGCCAGCCTCGACTGTCCGGCCGCCCTCTTGCCTGTCTGTCCGCCTGTCTGTCTGTCTGTCCGCCCGCCTGGCTGTCCGCCCACAGACGGACGCGCGGACGGCGGACACGACGTCATCCTGATTGCAATCACAATTGGCAATCGCGCGGCATATCTAATCTGAGCAATTAATATCCCCAACAACGGCGCGACAAAGCGGCGCCCAGATTGCGCACGGGGTCGCGCTGTCTCTCTCGCACTCGCGGGGCGCTCCGCAGCGGAGCGAGAGAGACAGGGGGCGACGGGGCAAGCGACCTCCCTTGTCTCCACCCACAGCCGCCTGGAAGGTAGGCAAAGCTCTGCCCCCTGCAAGCAGGCAAGAAGGGCTACTTCGCCCCCTCACGCCGGCCCTGGATCCGCCACTGCGGCGAGGAGACGTCGCCCGCACAGTGGGCCAGAAGACCAGTGGAGGCGGCCAAAACTCTGGACGCATTTTGAGCTGCAGAGTCGCTAAATGACACTCGAACCGAACGTGTGACCCCACCAATGGATTGCTCTCCGAACGAGGAATCCATTGGTGGGGTCACACGTATGGTTCGAGTCCCATTTAGCGACTCTGGAGCTCAAAACGCGTCCTGAGTTTTGGCCGCCTCCGCCCACTGTCCGGGCCCCATCAAGAGCCCCATCCAGGGGCCGCGCCGCCCATGGGGCCGCCCAGGCCCAGGGCCCAGGCCCAGCTCGCCCGGGGCCCCGGGGCGACGCTACAGTTTCCCAGCAGGGAGACCCTCTGCTGGTGTAGGCTCTTTGCATTTCCCACGGGGCACGGTGCCCTGCAGGCCGGCCCTGGGCTGCCCGGGGCCCCGGCCACTCCAGCCCGACTCCAGCACACCACGCTCCATGGACTCGGCGCGGCAAGGCGCTTCTGGGTCGTCTCTCTCCCGGACAGCTCGGTACACTGCCACGAGCGGCCGGCCTCTCGCTCGCACTCACGGGGCACTCTGCACCGGTGCGAGAGAGACAGACGTCAGTCTCCTGGCGCTATACGCTCCGCACTCGGCAGCAGCACCGCGGCTCGTAAACTGCGGCTACAGTGGCGAAAAAAAAAACTTCACCGACAGCGCAGCCGTGTCTCGGATTTGGCGCCAGTCGTTTTGGCGCGAAAAAAAATGAAATGAAAACAAATTTAAAAGTGCGCGCCAAAAGGGCAGCGTTTCTGGAAACACGTCCGCGACGGCGACGCGGTTCTTTTTTCTTTTTCCCCGTCGTCCAGCAGCCGAGCCACTGAGCCGTGCCCGCGATAAGAAGAGCCTGATGCCGATGATAGACATCTCGCGGCATAACGCCGTGCCGGACACCGCGGTCCGTCCGTCCGTCTGTCTGTCTGTCTGCTCGCCCGCGGCCGGCCGTTTGTGACAGTGTAGTAGCGGCGGTAATGCTAGACGCGGGCCCTGGCGCCGGGAGGGCGTGGCGGCGACGGCGGCAGCGACACTGCAGCTCTAGCGACCTTCGGCGAACGGCGCCAAAGCTAACGGGAACGCGGCGACAGAGTCCCGGACAACGCGCCGCGAGCACGCCGACGACGGCCCGCTTGGGGGAGGACGGCGACGGCGGCGGCCACTCCACGCCGCCAATAAAGCCCTGCGCGAGGCTAGCCGCTAATCCCCCTTCGCGAGGCTAGGCGTGCACGGCGGCCGCCACGCCGCGTCAGCGCGCCACTGGCCTCGAAGCGGGGGCGGGGCGCACCGCGGCGCAACGCCGCTATAAGCCGCCGACCGCGGCACCGCGCGCGCTGCAGACTCAGAGCGCTGTCTCTCTCGCACCCAGACGGGCCGCCGCACGAGTGCGAGAGAGACAGAGCGACGACTCTTCGAAATGAGTCTGCTGACCGACGGCAGCGCGAACCGCCAACGTTCGAGAAAACAACAAAAACAAGACGGGTAAGTAAGGCGAGCGCGACGCGGCGCTGCACATCGAGCGCGTGAGGCGCGTGCATGCAGAATGCACGCAGAATGCACACGGGTGCGGACTCAGCGCGGACTAAACGGGGTTGCTCTTGAGGCACTAGTCTGCTCCGGGGCAGCGGAGCTGCACAGCGGACTGCCGGACCCTTGGCTCAGCATTCTCGGCAGTCGCTGCTGCGTTCTCCAGCCTTCGATAGAATAGCCTTCCAGCTCGCTTCTAGCTCGCTTCCAGCTCAGCCGCCGCGCGCGCCAGGACCAAAAGGCGAGTTTCCTGGCACGCACCGCGGCACCGCAAAACCATTATTAAATTTGCAACAACAATCTTATCCCCGCTGCGCGTTAGCCCTTTTTGCTGCGATGGCAGAACAACAACAACAACAACCTGTTCGTCGCCAACAACAACTACATATCGCACAGCTCGGCGTGCGGCACTTTAGGCGCGGAGTGCCTGCAGGCTGCAGGCTCCAGGCCCAGCAGACTCACTCTGTCTCTCTCGCACTCACGGGGCGTCCCGCTGGGGCGCGAGAGAGACGGAGCGACGACAACGACCCTCGGATTCAGTCTGCTTGCCGGCGCGACTGGTTTTACTTCTCCAGACGGCTTTGCTGCACTCCAGCCACTCCAGCGAGCAGCTCTTCTCGGCCCAGCCAGGCAAGCCCGCGGCCCGCGGCCGGTCCGTCGGACTGACTCCCACCAACAGCCCCGCCGAGGGAATCCCACACTCACGCCGCGCCGCGCTCACGCCGCCGCGTGGCCGCAGTAACAGTACACCCATTGGGATGCATATAGATCGGCCGCGCCACTTCCAAGCGGCCACCACTATACTGGCCCGGGTTCGAACACCCGACTCTGGCATTGTTTTTTTCGAGAACTCTGTATTCCTTTTTTTCCAGCGTACGACTCCAGGCGTCCAGGCGCCGGGGTCGCTCGCTCGACCGGCTGGATGGAGTCTCAACAGCCCTGCGGCCGCGGAGTGCCGCGCCTGGAAAGGTCACATATCCATATCGCGCGAGGCGATGACAAGTCCAGTGTGTGTGTGTGTGTGAAAAAGCCAAGCGGCTAAGTAGTCCCAGTCCAGCGCCAGAGGTTACCCAGGCTAGGTGTGCCCGAGTAGCCTCTCGCTCACCTTTCGGTGTCCCAGTCCAGTCCACTACCACCACACGTACACGCACACAAACACACGCACGCACGCTCCACTGATAAGGCACTACACACACAGCAAACAATACCCGTACCGATAAGGACACACACAAAACGCGTTGTACAGTACCGGCTACGCGTCCACAATGCATCCATTCATCAATGCATGGCAGCGGTGCAATCATTTCGTGCGTGTGTGTGTGTGTGTGTGTGTCCGTGCTCAAATTGAAGAGCTTTTCGTACCCTGCAGGAAGTGACGTCATCCCGGCCGGTGTGCCACTGTGTGCACACCGTGTGCACGGCGAGCACGGCGAGCGTGCGTGGCCGATGGGACACTGGGCGATGATGACGACACGAGACACGCGCCGCGCGCGGCGGCAGGACGCGGCAGGTGTTTGGCTGCGGGGTGCAGTGGGCTGGTTCCGAAGCCGCGCGCTCTGTCTCTCTCGCACTCGCGGGGCGATGGCCGTGGAGGGCGCGAGAGAGACGGAGCTGTGCAGCGCCCTACTCGCTCCCTCTTTGGGCCGCCACCTGCCACGCTCCATCACGCAACGCGAGTAACGCGTGCATTCGCAGAAAACGACAACAACAACAACAACAACAACAACAAGACTGCCCGACATGCGCCCGCCTCAAGCGCAGTCCTTCTTCGCCCCGCGCGTTTTAAACGCCCGAATAAAACAGTCGCGATTTTTAATTGCTCGACGGGGGCCGATTATAAACCGTACC